ATACTATCATATCATCTGCAAATAATGAAAGCTTAACTTCTTCCTTTCTAATACGAATCCCCTTGATCTCCTTATGTTGTCTTATTGCTATTGCTAGAACTTCAAGCACTATATTGAAGAAGTATGGAGAGAGTGGACATCCTTGTCGTGTTCCTGATTTTAGTGGGATGGTTTTGAGTTTTTCTCCGTTTACTTTAATGTTAGCTGTTGGCTTGCTGTAAATAGCTTTTATTATATTTAGGTAGGACCCTTGTATCCCTATTCTCTCCAAGACCTTTATCATAAAGGGGTGTTGAATTTTGTCGAATGCTTTTTCAGCATCTAATGAAATGATCATATGGTTTTTTTCTTTCAGTTTATTTATATGGTGGATTACATTGATAGATTTGCGTATGTTGAACCAGCCCTGCATCTCTGGGATGAAGCCTACTTGATGATAATGGATAATTTTTCTTATGTGTTCTTGGATTCGGTTTGCCAGTATTTTATTGAGAATTTTTGCGTCGATGTTCATGAGTGAGATAGGTCTGTAATTCTCTTTCTTGGTTGGGTCTTTGTGTGGTTTTGGTATCAGGGTAACTGTAGGTTCATAAAAGGAATTTGGCAATGACTCTTCTGTTTCTATATTGTGAAATACATTAAGGAGTATAGGTATTAGTTCTTCTTGGAAGTTTTGGTAGAATTCTGCATTGAAACCATCTGGTCCTGGGCTTTTTTTCGAAGGGAGATTTTTGATAACTGTTTCTAATTCTTCGCGAGTAACCGGTCTATTTAGCTCATTCACCTGGTCTTGGTTTAGCTTTGGTATATGGTACTTATTTTAAAAAATGTCCATTTTTGTATTTTCCAATTTTGTGGCATACAGGCTTTTGTAGTAAGATCTAATGATTCTCTGAATTTCTTCTGTGTCTGTGGTTATGTCCCCCTTTTCATTTCTGATCTCATTTATTTGCGTGTTCTCTCTCTATCGTTTAATTAGTTTGGATAGGGGTTTGTCGATCTTGTTGATTTTCTCCAAGAACCAGCTTTTTGTTTCATTGATTCTTGGACTGTTTTCTGTGTTTCTATTTTGTTGATTTCAGCCCTCAGTTTTATTATTTCCAGTCTTCTACTTCTCCTGGGCGCGTCTGCTTCTTTTTTTTTCTAGAGCTTTCAGGTGTGTTGTTAAGTCCCCAATGTATGCATTCTCTGTTTTCTTTAAGTGGGCACTTAGTGCTATGAACTTTCCTCTTAGCACTGCTTTCATTGTGTCCCATAGATTTGAGTATGTTGTCCCTTTATTTTCATTAAATTCAAGGAAGACTTTAATTTCTTTCTTGATTTCTTCCTTGACCCAGGTGTGGTTCAGTAGTTGACTGTTCAGTTTCCATGAGTTTGTCGGTTTTTTGGGGGTAGCGTGGTTGTTGCCTTCTAACTTTAATCCATGGTGATCTGATAAGACACAGGTGGACACTGATATTTTTTTGTATCTGTGGAGGTTTCCTTTGTTTCCGAGTAGGTGGTCAATTTTTGAGAAGGTTCCATGAGTTGCAGAGAAGAAGGTATATTCTTTCCTATTTAGGTGGAATGTTCTATAGATGTCTGTTAAGTCCATTTGCTTCATTACCTCCAATAATTCTTTTAATTCTCCATTAGGTTTCTGTCTGATTGACCTGTCTCTTGGAGAGAGAGGTGTGTTGAAGTCTCCTACTACTAGTGTGTGTGGTTTGATGTCTGCCTTGAGTTCTAGTAAAATTTCTTTTACATAAGTAGGTGCTTTTATATTGGAGGTGTAGATATTCAGGATTGAGACATCATCCTGATGAATTGTTCCTGTTATGAGTATAAAGTGACCATCTCGGTCTCTTCTGATTGATTTTAGTTTGAAGTCAGTTTTGTTAGAAATTAGTATGGCCACACCTGCTTTTTTCTTAGGACCATTTGCTTGAAACACCTTTTCCCAACCCTTTACTCTGAGTAGGTGCCTGTCTTTGTGGTTGAGATGTGTTTCTTGCAAACAGCAGAATGTTGGATCCTGTTTTCGTATCCAATCTTTTAGCCTGTGCCTTTTTATAGGTGAATTGAGCCCATTAATATTAAGTGATATTAATGACCAGTGGTTGTTTACTCCGTTTATTCTTATTGCTTTTGGTAGTAGAGATTGTGTGTCTCCCTTCTTTGAGATGTGCTGGTGAAGGGTCGCTAGATGCTTGAGTTATTGTAGGCAGTGTTGGCAATGTTGGATTCCTTGGGTTGCGATTTTCCTTCTATTACTTTCTGTAGGGCTGGATTTGTAGCTATGTATTGTTTAAATTTGTTCTTATCCTGGAATGTCTTGTTTTCTCCATTGATAATAAACGATAGCTTGGCTGGGTATAGTAGTTTGGGTTTGCATCCATGGTCTCTTAGCTTCTGCAGTACATCTATCCAGGACCTTCTGGCTTTCATAGTTTCCATAGAGAAGTCAGGTGTAAGTCTGATTGGTTTACCTTTATATGTTACTTGCTCTTTTTCCTTTGCAGCTCTTAATATTCTTTCTTTAACCTGTATATTTTGTGTTTTGATTATTATATGGCAAGGAGATGTTTTTCTTTGATCCAGTCTGTTTGGTGTTCTGTATGCTTCTTGAATATTTAAGTGAATATCTTTCTTTAAGTTGGGAAAGTTTTCTTCCATAATTTTGTTGAAAATATTTTCTGGGCCTTTGAGCTGTGACTCTTCTCCTTCTTCTATTCCTATTATTCTTATGTTCATTTTTTTTATTGTGTCCCATATTTCCTGAATGTTTTGTGATGAGAATTTGTTGGCTTTGCTGTTTTCTTTGATCTGTTCGTTTATTTTCTCTATGGTGTCCTCAGCATCTGAGATTCTTTCTTCTAGCTCTTGTATTCTATTGATTATGCTTGTTTCTGTAGACTCTGCTCGTTGACCTAGATTTTCCATATCCAGCTGGTCCTCAGTTTGTATTTTCTTCCTTGCCTTCATTTTAGTTTTCAATTCTTGAACTGTTTCCATTACCTGTTTGATCGTTTTTTCTTGGTTTCCCAGGGTATCATGTACGTATTTACTCATTTCTTCAAACTTTTTGTTATACTTCTCATCCATTTCTATAAGGACATTTTTTACATGTTGTTTAAGGGAGTCTATTGCCTTCATAAAGTCAATTTTTTTCCACTTCTTCTGTGTTAGGTTGTTCAAATATTTCTGTTGTAAGATCATTGGGTTCTGGTGTTTTCATGTTGTTTTTCAGATTATTGGGTGAGTTCTTGCCTTGGCGCCTGCCCATCTCCTCCTATTGATCCTATCTAATGGGTCTTTTAAAAACCGGATCAAGGCCGGCCGGTGGTGGCGCACGCCTTTAATCCCAGCACTTGGGAGGCAGAGGCAGGTGGATCTCTGTGAGTTCGAGACCAGCCTGGTCTACAAGAGCTAGTTCCAGGACAGGCTCCAAAACCACAGAGAAACCCTGTCTCGAAAAACCAAAAAAAAAAAAAAAAAAAAAAACGGATCAGGTTTCCCTGCTGGCCAAGGGCTCGGGCTTACAAAATGCCCTCGCTCTGTTTCCTGGTTCCTGCCACAGGCCAAGAACCCTCTCACCCCTCTGAAGGGTCTTCAGGACAGGACCAGGCTCCCCGTGTGCCAGTGACCTGGCCAACCAAAGGCCTACCTCTTTAATTTAATTGTAGTAGGGCGATCTGCTCTCCTTATTGCACGCCTGTCCCTGCCGCCGGGCTGGTCCCCCAAAGCCTCTTCCTGAATGCAGTGTCGCGCCGCTGTGTCTGTTCGCTGCTGCCTCTGTGCGTCTTCTCCCCGGTGGCGCTGCCGCCTCTGTGCGTCTGTCTGCGGTGGCGCCGCCGCCTCTGTGCATCTCGGCAATGGGTTTTTGATCCTACTGCACGTACTGGGTTTGTGGGAGCCTAGGCAGTTTGGATGCTCACCTTACTAGACCTGGATGGAGGTGAGTGGTCCTGGGACTTCCCACAGGGCAGGGAACCCTGATTGCTCTTTGGGCTGACGAGGGAGGGGGGCTTGACCGGGGAGGGGGAGGGAAATGGGAGGCAGTGGCAGGGAGGAGGCAGAAATCTTTAATAAATAATTAATAAAAATAAATAAATTAATTTAAAAAATCCAAAATTTAAAAAAAATTTAAATCCAAAATTAAACTCCAAGGGTTATTTTTCAATAACTGCATTGTCCAGGGGCTGTAAAGATGGCTCAGTGATTAAAAGCCTTTTTATTGATTGCAGAGGACCAGAGTTCTATCCCAGCATCCAGTTAGGATGGTTCACAACTGCCTGTAACCCCAATTTCAGGGATGGATGCTTCTGGCCTCCACGGACACCCGCACTCACCTGCACGTAACCACTCACACATGCACAAACTTTTTTTAATCTTTTTTTTTTCTTCGAGACAGGGTTGCTCTGTGTAGCCTTGGCTGTCCTGGAACTCTATAGACCAGGCCGGCCACGAAATTGGAGGTCTGCCTGCCTTTGCCTCCCAAATGCTGGCTGGAATTAAAGGCGTGTGTCACCACCATCCGTTTTTTTTTTTTTTAAATCAGCACTTGGGAGGCAGAGGCAGGCAGATATATGTGAGTTCAAGGCCAGCCTCGTCTACAAGAGCTAGTTCCAGGGCAGTTTCCAAAGCTGCAAAGAAACCCTGTCTCGAAAAACAAACAAACAAAAAAATCTTAACATATCACCCAATATTAACCATGGTCATCTCTGGGGAAGAAACTTATTTACCAGTGTCTTTGCTCGTATACCCCCTTGACTTGAGTATTTGATTTCGTCCACGGTTTTGGGGAATTACTTTTGATAGCCAGTTTTTGTGTGCAGGTGTCGTGTGCATGAGCAGGGAAAACTTGAGGGTAATATTGATCCTTGATAAGAATGCGTGGTTTTACTTTCTATAAACACTTCACCTCCTTGTTTTTTTTTTCTCGCGTGATGTGAACACGACTGTTCTCCCCGTGGCTTTGCCGCTGAGGCCACGGTGCTGCAGGTGGCTAGGCACAGCTCTCCAGCTAGACAGGAGCTTTGCAGCTCTGGGAGGGGCGCGGGCGCCGTGGGAACTGAGTCTGGAATGTGATGGAGGCTAAGAGGGTCGCGGGAACCGGTCTCTAGCTGCTGTGCTGCGCATGTGCAGTTCATCTTCATTGTTCGCTCCCGCGTCCCGCTGCGCTCGGAGGAATCCCTCAGATCCTCAGGGTCCACGCGTCGCTCAGAGACCCGGTGCCCAGGTCAGGCGCGCCCACGGGTGAGAGCCAATTTGGAGGGTTGCAGTGTCAGGCTCGGGGGGCGGCTTGCGTGCTAAAACACACCTGCGCGGGTCCTGGGAGGTTTCTGACCCTGACCCTGAGTGTGCTCCGGGCTGGTGGAGGTGGGCTTCTTCAAGGGGAAGAAACTGGGCTCGGACTTGGTGGTCCGGATAAAGTGAGCTGGGGCTCTAAGCTCCATAGCAACCAGCGGATATCAGAGCCACCTGCTGGGACTCTAAGCCCCATAGCAACTGGCGAGTGACTTCCAAGGCTTCATGGGATGAGCACCAAGTCCGATGACACCTGTCCGAGGCTGGCAGGACAAGGGCAGTGAGGGTTCTGTAGCTGAAAAGGCTGCTCTCAGTTTCTTAGCTCAAGTTCTAGCAGTACTGCTGAGTCCCTACCGGCAAGAAGAGGAACCCGAGACTCAGTTTCCCCATCTGTACATGGGAGTTCTTCCCTGAACCTGCCTCTTAGGTGTTCTGGGCAGTGCCTGACATAGGTTTTAGCAGGGATGGTGGCATTTGCTCAGGATCTGGAAGTGGCCTTCGTCCCCTGTTCATTAAGCCCTAAGCACCATTTGGTTCTGAGATCACTGTTACAACCCTGTTCTAACAGAAGAAAGACTGGGGCAGGGTGAGGGGCGGAGTCTGCTGAAGAGTGAGGATGCAAACCTCAAATCACAAGCTCCGTTCAATCTAGCCTCTCTCTCTCTCTCTCTCTATCTCTATCTCTATCTCTCTTCACATGGCTCCTCCTCAAGGACCTGCTTCTTGGAGGAAGGAACCCGGAGTCTTTCCTAAGGGCTCCTGGGATCACTCTTCAATGAAGGCCAACGAGCCCTGCTGCCTGGGTCACCTGTCTGTGCCCACTGCAGTTACAAACTTAAGTTAGGCTTCCCGCAGTTTTCAGAGTCTGTACCAGAATCAGCCAAAGCGCTGAGGCCCAACAGCCGCTGGGTACAGAAGCTTGGGATGTCTACGGAGAGAAGAGGTCTCAAAGTTCAACTTTCTGTCTAGTTTGGGTGGTGTTGCCATTGGCCTGGACCTTCACTCTGAGAACCACCATTGTAGAGAGCAGTGATATTCAGGAGGGAGAGAGAGAGAGAATGAGAGAGAGATTCAGCCAAAGGCTCCAATTCCTTGAATTTACTCCCTCCAGTCAGGTTCAAAGTTCTCTGGATCACGGTTCCTGTAAGAAAGAAGAGCACATCAGAAGCAGGACATCCCCCCCCCCACGGGAGACACCTCCTCTCTGGGGTGCAGTGTTCCACAGCTGTAGGGCAGAGGCCCAAGAAACAGGCAGCGTGTGAAGCACTTGCTGAGCCTTCTGCCCTGTGACGTCATCTCAGTAGACACCTGTCCAGCGGCAGCAGCGGGGCCAGCTTCCAAGGGAAGGAGGTGACGTGGGCCACCCACGGGAAGTGAACAAGAGGTAGGCTGCTTGGCAAAAGAGACTTCCGTGGGAGGACGGTGAGAGAACAAGATGATGAGGAAGTGCAGGCAGATGCGCTGTCCCCTCCTCCTGGACGCTCCTCCCACTACCCTCTTCTCACACTCACAGGCAGAGCTAGACTTCAGGGCCAAAGCTTCCATTACCATCTGAGGGGGCCTGTCATTCTGCTTTGTAGTTAGCAGTCCTTAGCTACACTATTTCTGGGGTAGGGACAGACTGCCAGGGTTTGAAACTTAGCCCTCCTTAAGAATGGCTCTATCATTCCTCACCTCCGTTTCCTCATAGAACAGTAGTGGTACCTACATCAGTCTCTGGAACCAGAACTGTAACTAGGTCATTATCATTTGCCTGCAAGTTACTTGCTAGTGACCAGACCACAAGCATCAGTGAGACCCCCTGACTCCCAGGTCTCTGTCCACATGTCTCAGCTAAGTCGAGTCTCTTGAAACAAAACTCAGTTGGAGACACTGAAACCAAGGAACGAATTTTCAGTCCAAGGCCCTTGTTGTCAGCAGTCCCTATATGTTCCTTGAGCTGGGATTTGAGAGGTGGCCCCACAGTTAAGAGCTCTTCCTATACTTGCAGACGCCTGCGTTTGGCTCCCAGCACCCACACCAAGCAACTCACAGCCACCTGTAACTCCAGAGAATCAGATATCATCCCGTCTCAGTGGGCACTTGCACACATGTTCATACACACACACACACACACACACACACACACACACGCAAAACACACAGAAAAAATAGTTTAAAAATAAATGATTTGAGTTATAGGGTTAAGGAGTTAAAATATATGTAGAAGCCGGGCAGTGGTGGCGAACGCCTTTAATCCCAGCACTCAGGAGGCAGAGGTAGGCGGATCTCTGTGAGTTCAAGACCAGCCTGGTCTACAGAGCTAGTTCCAGGACAGGCTCCAAAGCCACAGAGGAACCCTGCCTCGAAAAAAACCAAAAATAACAAAAAAAAATATATGTAGAAAAGTAAATCAACAGACACAACATCTTCGTTGTTAAATTGTTTTACACATGCTAGGTTCAATGTCACACATCCTTCATCTCAGAAACTTGTGAAGAAGAGGCAAGTGGATCTCTGGGTTTGAAACCAGCCTGGTCTATGCTGAGAATTCCAGTCCAGTCAGGGCTACATAGTGAGACCCTGTCTTAAAGTGAAACAAAACCTATAAATTGATTTACACCTTTTATTGCAGAAACATTCCAAACACACAAAAGTAGAAAACACTGAATAATAACTCCTGAGTGTGTGTTACATGTCGAGCTAGGGAGAGACAGTTTTATTGTCTGTCCACCCCCAGCATGTACACACACATACGTATATACACATGCACTTCAACACACGTCCGTACCCTTTCTCCTTCCCACCTTCCTTTATAAGATTATCTTATTGTTTTGCAGTGTTTGTTTGTCTGAAACAGGGTCTTCCATGTAGCTCAGGCTGGTCTCAAATGCTGCATCCTCCTGCCTCTGTTTCCTGAGTGCTGGCATCATGGTGCTCGATACACTGCTACACTCTGTTCATAAGATTAAACCCCACACATCAAAGCAGGCAGATGGGCTGAGTCAGTTGCTCTAACCATTTGCTTAGCTGCTTCTTTCCCAGCTTAACCTGATGCTGTGCCTGTTTGCTGCCAAAGTCAAAGAGGCCATGATCACTGTGAAATGCCGGCAGGAAGCCAGTGCTGGCTTTTCTGATGACAGGCCACTTTCTCTGAGCTCCAGGAGGCGATAAGACTTCCTGAGCATCCATCTACCCACCCATCTGAAGGGTGGGGGGGGGTGACATCGCGCCCCCATGTGGTCATTTGTCAGCATGCACAAATAGATTTCTAGCAAGGCTCTGAGGACCTTGACAATGATGGTTTGCCCTCTTCCTCTCCACAGCCTCTGCAGCTCTCCAGGGACAGACGGACATGAACACAGCCCAGGTGAATCCCCCGCTTGTTCCTCATATGAGTTTCTTTGCATTGTTGGTAACCGTGCTTCCTTTCCGGTCATTTCCGTTCATCTGACCACGTCCTCGCTTTCCTGGCATCCTGGTTTTGCTGTCTGTTTCAGAAACTGTTTCCACCCGTGACGTCACATGGACGCACACAGCTGTCTTGAGTATTGGTTTTATGGAAACAATCTACCTGCTCTTCCTTTTCCCTTACGTCTTCCCTTGTGTAACACACATTTTAACTGTTTGTAGTGTATCTTCTACCCACTTAAACAATAATAATTTAAATTTGAATATGCATTTTCTGGTAATTTTTGCTTTCCTTTTTATGGCATACAATGACAAAATGGCAATAGTCTATCAGCTGTAATATGATTATTTTAAAATGTATTTATTTATGTAGGTGGTGGGAGGAGTGTATGCATGCCACGTTGTTCTTGTGGAGGTCAGAGGACCACTTGTGGGGGTTCTCTTTTCACCCATCAGGTCATGGGGGATCAAATTCAGGTGGGTAGTCTTGGTGGCAAGCTCCCTTTCCCATGGAGCCAACTCGCTGGCCCCATCTATAGTATTGTGTACAATGTTCCAGTCACTGTTAACTTCCCTCCCTGGATTACTTTATAGGAGTCTGGCAGCATTATTGAGTACACACTTTTATTATACCCTTTCTACTGAGGGCTATAGACTGTTGGATCAGCTTTTCATATGACATAATCCCAAAGTTGCACCTTAGATGTTTGGTTGTATGGAGGCCACCTCCAGCCCAAGTTCTGAGAGCTAATTTTTGTTTTTTTATGTTCCATCTTGCCCACATGCGAAGCCTTTAAAATCTGAGTCTTTGCTCCTCTGGCCACTGGGAGCCAAGCATCTTCATTATCAACTCCAGCCCCACTTAGGTGGAAAGGGAGTTTGAGGCTCTCTTTGCTGGCCCCTGGTGCTGACGGTGCGGCTTCTCCTGAGAAGCAGCTGTTTTCAGTGGTTGATTTTATGACTTCATCCCAGATGGCTGCTGGGGGTGTGGCCTGCTTCAGCCTCAGCACCACTTCCTGTGGCAGCTGTCCTTCAGGCTTGGTACCCATGATTCCCGGCTTTGTGCGAGACTGACAGCTTCTTGCCTCTCTTGGGGCACAACAGTGCTCGCAGGCTGGCCACCTGCCTCCGTTGCCTCCGTTGCCTGGCGATGGGCTTTGTTCTCTTTGGGATTCTGCTGAGTTTGGATGGAGGCTGCGGTGCACATTGCACAGTGTGACTGCGGGTCTGCCCTCTGAACCTGAAATGCCCGTGTCCTGCTCAGTCCTGTGAATGAGGGAACGCTCAGGGAGTCTGGGAGAAAGGCCGTCTACAGTATCACAGGCACGGGGGAGAACGAGAAGTGGGTGGCTGTGGAGGTATCTGCTGTCACCTCCTCTTTCTCACCTGTCCTCTGGTGTCAGATACTTCACCAGGCCATCATGCCTGCTCGTCTCTTCTTCCTCCAGTCTGTCCCCACAGAGAGAAGCCCCGCCCCGGTCCTGAAGACACCCCCCCCGGTTCCTCCCCCATGTGTGTTCTTCCTAACTCCTCCTCTGCCCTGGCCACCCAGAATCCCTCCCAAGCCTCCCCCTGCCCCCACCATCTGGATCCCCTCACTTCTATCTCCTCACTCCCAGCTTCCATAAGAGGGTTGTCCATTAAGCATTCTGTCCTCATGCTTTCCCTGAGGGGGATGTTTTTCTATTTCCTCTAATCAACAAGAAAATACTTAGCATTTCTGTGCCCTTTCTTTTCTCATAGAAAATGTCCATCCTTATATCAACTTGGAGACACTGACTTGAATGTTTAAATATTCTCTTTAAAAACTTTATTTATTTATTTATTTATTTATTTATTTATTTATTTTGGGGAGCGTGTGCCACTGTGCACAAGTGGAGGTCAGAGGACTTGTCTCGGAGCCAGTTCTTCCCTTCTACCACATGGCTCTGAGGACCCAACTCAGGCTTGGCAGCAAGCACTTTTACCCACTGAGCCATCTTGCCAGTCCATCATTATTTTCTTCAGTATCTATTTTTTTTTCCAGCAGTGGGGACTGAACCTAGGGGCCTGCACGTTACAGGCAAGCACCCTACCACTGAGCTATGCCCCAGCTTGCTCTTCAATATTTTAAACTCATTTTACTCTTTGCTCTCTTCCCATCTCAGGGCTTTTAGGTTACAGCTTCTTGTTCCTGCTGCGTTTGTTCTGTGCTCCGCGAGTCCCTGCCCCAGCTCACTTGTTGGACTGTGATTCTCTCACGAGCCACCGGTCTTTTCTGTTTTCTGTGCCTTCTGTGCCGAGGGAGGCAGAGGCCTCGCTGCAGCTGCCCAGCTGGTTGCTCGGGTGACTGGCCTGCATTTTCTGTGCTGTATGGAGCTGAGTTTTCCGGCTAGCTTTCCTGTGAGGTGGACGCCTGGCCTGGGGCCTTGCACACGAGGTGCCGGGAGATGTCTTAGGATGTCGAGTGTGTATGGATTGAGACAAGGAGCTAAGAGAGAGGGGACCCCTCCTTTGACAAAGAGAACAGAATCGACTTAATGGTGTATCTCCCCTGAATGGCCCTGAAGGAAAGTAGTACCATGTCAGGGTACTGTGTATAGTCCTCGGCTCCTGACTGGCTTCGGAATTCTCACAGACTCCATGGGACAACAGTCTCCTGCCTGTCCTAAGGAATGATTTCCTGGGTATCAATCATCAGGGGTGAGAATCTGCCCAGAAGCCTGGTAGTCCATTTGCTGATCACGGCTCTGCTCAAACCCCTCCTCTCAACCTTTTGAGCCTAAAGACCTTACTAGGCCCTGCAGGGAAACCTGAGGCACTGCCCAGCCTATGTTTGTGGTGTGAGGCAAACAGGTACCCGAGGTGCCTGCCACCCCCTCACCCTGGCCTGCCCACAGCCCCTCCCTGCACTCCTCTGTGGGATAAGCCTGAGGCTTGCTTCCCTGCTTCTCTCTCAAGAGCAGAAGGGAGAGGTGTACTTGACACAAACTGGAGGGTCACTCACTCACTCTTGAGACTGTCATTTCTGGGGCCACTGTGGACCCAAAGTCCTGCTTCTGGTCCCCTTTTGTGCTTCAGGGCCTGCTCATTGTCTGCACGGGTCATCTGCCTTTGCTCCAGCCTCCATGTTCTTTGTGAACGGTTTCCCTCCTAGCAGTTCTGGATGCTGTTGAAATAGTCCTGATCTCTAAAATGTGGGGTTGTCCCTTATCTCTCTTCATAGTCCAGACTTCTCTTAAGTCCACCTGTCACCTGGACATCTCTACCACGTGTGTTTCTCATCCCTAGAGTATAACGCACTCAGGAAACCCCCCACCTCTCCCTCACTCCCTTCCTCCTTCCCCCTTTCTTGTCTCTCCCTCTCTCCATGATGCATTCTTTGGTTTTCTCGGTCCCATATTAGGACAGTACGTGGCCCCGGCCCCGAGCCCACTCACTAGAGTACGTGACCCCGGCCCTGAGCCCACTCACTAGAGTACGTGACCCCGGCCCCGAGTCCACTCACTAGAGTACGTGACCCCGGCCCCGAGTCCACTCACTAGAGTACGTGACCCCGGCCCCGAGCCCACTCACTAGAGTACGTGACCCCAGCCCCGAGCCCACTCACTAGATTACGTGACCCCGGCCCCGAGCCCACTCACTAGAGTACCTGACCCCGGCCCCGAGTCCACTCACTAGAGTACGTGACCCCGGCCCCGAGTCCACTCACTAGAGTACGTGGCCCCGGCCCCGAGTCCACTCACTAGAGTACGTGGCCCCAGCACCGAGCCCACTCACCACCTTCAAAGCTCCTTTCTTTTGCTTCCCTGGTCAACTCTATGCAGACTCTGCCCCAGCACTCTCATCCCTACTGCCAAGGCTCTAAGGCTTGTTACCATAGTTACCAGTTTGTTACCACAGTCCTTTAGTTCTCACTGAAACCTGGTCACTCAGGGTGGGGTGTTTAGTTGTGTGTCTGGATGAGGCCACTAGATGGCAGCAGCACCCTCTCAGTTTAGAGCGTGATGCCCACAGCTGTTGCCAGATACCCCAGGGAGGCAGCATCAGCTGTGATGGAGAACCAGTTGCTCATTCATTCAATCATTTGTTTGTTTATAAATTCAAAATGTATATGGGTGTGTTGTCTGACAAAGGATCCTGAAGAGAGCATTGGACCCCTGGAACTGAAATTAAAGATGTGTCAGCCTCCATGTGGGTGCTGGACTCTAAGCCAGGTCATCTTCAAGAGCAGTCAGTGCTCTTGACCACCGAGCCATCCCTCTAGCCCAAGAATCAGTTTCTCAAGTCAATCTCCAATATGCTTCTGGAGTGTTGCTTTCAAAATATAAAACTAGTTGTATTTGTTGACTTGACTGTGTGTCTCCACTATCCAGAGAAATGATCCTCAAGAAGGGCTATGCACCCTGAGGAGTGAGCAAGCCAAGTCAGAGGTATGTTGGGAAAATACTGGAATAGCTACCGCCTTTTGTGTGTGTGTGTAGCCCCCCTCCCCCCATGGAGCTGCTGAGCTTTGGCTTGTGGACTGTGTGTATACACTGAAGACTGCCAAGGATGTACTGATGGAAGCCATTGGCCTACAGAAGAAATGTCATTTTCCTGATGTTTGAACTGTCTGAACCCCACCTGAACTGTTCTGGTCTCACCCGGTCCTCCAGTCTCCTCCTGCTGTACCTCTCTCCCTGTGACTCCTCTAACGTCAGCTGTCCTTCCAATTGTTCCCTAAGCATTCTCAGAGCTTGCTGTTTGCAGGCAACCAAATCCTAACCGAAAGGCTGGGAAGAAACTCAGAGGGTGAAGTGCTGGCTATACACGAGGACCTGAGTTCAGATCGCCAGCTCCTGTGTTAAAAAAACCAGGCATGATGGCATACACCTGTAATACCAGCACTGGGGTGCTGAGGCAGGGGGATGGCCGCTTGTGTGTGTGTGGAGGGTGCTCACTGAAGACATATACCTCTAATACCAGCACTGGGGGCAGAGACAGAGGGATAGCAGCTTGTGTGTGTGTGGGGGGGGGATATTCACTAGAGACATATGTCTGTAATGCCAGCACTGAAGGACAGAAGCAGGGGAATGGCAGTATTTGTGGGAGTGAAGGTTACTCAGTTAGTACTGGGGAGATGACTCAGTGTGTAGAAGCACTCATCCCACAAACCTGACAGCTGGAGTTCATTCCTGAAAACCCAGGTAAAACTCAGGGGATGCGGCACAAGCATCAGTAATCCCAGTACGCTCCCCGCCAGGGGGCGGGAGGCAGAGCCAGGAAACCGCGGAAGCCCACAGCCAGCTGGCCTGCAGTGTCTAAGCTGAAGAGATCCTGTCTTAAAATAGGTGGAGAGGTGAGGACGGACATCCAAAGGCTGTCCTCTGACCACCACGCACACATCAGGGCATGTGTGAGTCTGCACCTTCACACGGGAATGAACATATATGCACATGGACTCACATTCTCATACACACATACATATACACACATCCACATACATTCATAAGAGACATCCACATATATAATCACATACACACATACACACAACATGCACATACATACACACATATATACACCACACACACACATATGCATACACGCTTGGTGACTGGTGAACTAAAGGAAGAAGTACATCTCCCACAGTTCCTTGCTGTCTGTATGCATAGGAAATATCAAGTCCATAAGATCCTTAAAAATGAGCTCCCAGGCTTACTTGTCTAAGTGTCCTCCACAGCCAGACCAGACCCAGGTAGACATTACTGCTTTATGAGTTAATCTGTGACTTTGGCTTTCCTGGTGTTTCTGTGGTGATGCCATTTCTCCTCCAAAGTGCAGCACACAGAAGCGGACGTGAGACAACCTTACGCTGTTTTCTGGTATGCAATGACAACGTGCCTTAGGTGTCTCCCCTCGTTCTTTGTGGTGAGTCCTCCCAATTGAGCCCCACTGCTCTGTTGCAGGGACAAGTGTTGTTCAAAGATGTGTGTGTGACCTTCACTCAGAAGGAATGGCAGTTGCTGGGTGCTGCCCAGAGGCACCTGTACAGGGAGGTGATGCTGGAGACCTACAGGCACCTGCAAGCCGTGGGTAAGCCCCGCCTCCCGGGCTGCTCCTATCAGCCTGTGCTCCTTACCTTAGAAGTCAAATTAGTGTCAAGAGTCAAGTTTTAAGCCTGGGGCTCAGCACTTAAGAGTGCTTGCTGCTCCCCAGAGGACTTGAGTTCAATTCCCAGCACCCACATGGGGCAGTTCCCATCTGCCTGAAACTGCAGTTCCTGGGGGCCTGAAGCCCTCTCCTGTCTGCACTCATGAGCACAGTCACTCACCTGGTGCCTGTGCCTCCAGTCAAGGACTCAGCCCTGGTCTGAGCAGTGACGAGATAAATACATGTGGCCCCCTCCCCCCAGGAACTTAGCCGGTGGCTTTGGTGAAACACACCACAGCCTCAGCAGTATGTACCCGTCCCTCAGGCCTGAGCAGTCTTGTCAAGCCTTGTCATCTTCTCGTCACAGGCTGCAGTGTAAACAAACCTGAGCTGATACGCAAGTTGGAACAGGGAGAAGGTCCTTGGGAATCTCCAGGTTGCAGCCTCTTAGGTGAGTTGATGTCAAGGAGGAGGAAGAGGGCAGAGCTTTGGTGGCCAGGGCAAGGCTCGCTTCCTTTGAATGTCTCTGTGGTGGAGTTGGTGGCTGGCGTGCTGGCCTAGCAGGCACAGAGCCCCAGCTTTTTTTTTTTTTTTTTCAACTCCCCAGCAGAGCATAAAAGGCCCAGCACAGCCCAGGTCTTTAATCCCAGTAAAAAGGCAGGAGGGTCAGTAGTTTAAGGTCAGCCCGGGGCCAAGAGAGACCCTGTCTCAAACAGAAACAAACAAATAAACAACAAAAAGAATATCTTTGAGAGGCTCTAGAATTTTCAAAGAGACAAAGAGAAATGCTCACAGCCTGATATCCACCCAGAAAGTATAGATGTTCTCTGCAGGCTGTGTGTGGTGGTTCACACCTTTGATAGAAGCATTTGGGAGGTAGAGGCAGGTGGTACAGCCTGGCTTACAGAGAGTTCCAGGCCAACCAGGGCTATACATTAAGACCCTGTCTCAATAGATAGATAGATAGATAGATAGATAGATAGATAGATAGATAGTGTTTCCTGTTTATCTCAGTTTTTAGTGCCTTCCACCTGTGGACGAGTCCTTTGTCTGACAGTCTTTGTTCCCAGCTGTGTTTTATTTCCAGCTTTCTAGCCATTTAGTGGCCATGTTTGTAAGAAACCAAAGCTACTGATGTTATTTTCTTCATTCCCTCCCACTTTCTACTCCATTGTGAGACTTTGTCTTCATTTTTGTATTACCCAATGAGAAGTCTAGATGAAACGCCTGCTTAAAATGGCTTCCTTTCCAGCAGAGTGTGTCAGAAAGCCCAGAATCAAGTCGGCATAAGACATGTGTGTGTAGACTCTTTCCTTTAACATTGTATTTTGATGTATAATATATGCTGACTTCTCATGTTCCTAGAAGTCCGGGGAGCCAATAACATGGCAACAAGCCAAGGAAATGAAGACGAATATTTGAGTCAAGTTTTATTTGTCAACAACAAAACACTAACTAAGAAGAAAAGCAAGGATCTAAAAGAAATAGTTTATCTGACCACAAACTCAGTGGCCTCAAGAGAAAGACACTGTAAGTGTCACTCAGCAAGCTTGGGAAATGTTGAAGGACTAATTACTGATAACACAAACTATGCAAAAAAGTTTGATGGTTTAGGAGAGTCTAAGTCCCTTGAAAGTAAGCATGGAAAAGATCACATAGGAAGCAAAACCTGGGAAGCTGTTCAAAGAAAGAGACCCCACAGTCCTTTCGAGGGTCTTGCTCCATATCAGAAGGCCTCACATTTGGAGCAGCTTCTTGGATATTCAAATTCTGGGAAGACCTCAGACAGAAAGACAGGCTCTGTTATGCACGAGGCAGCTCACACAGGACAGGAGGCCTCTCAGGATAGTAAATGCATGCAAGTCACCGCCCACAAGCTCAGGTTCCAGTCTTTTCTAAGAACCCTTCGAGAAAGGAAGGCACAAGAGGCCAGCAAAGGTGGGAAATCCTCATGTGTGAAGTCAAAACATGAACATTCAAGAACTCACCCAAGGGAGAAGCACTGTGGATGTGATACGCTTGAGAAATCCTGTCGTGAGAAGTCGGATCTTACCCGACATGAAAGAGTGCAATCAGGAAGAAAGACTGGCAAACGCAATGCAAGCGAGGGAGCCTTAAGAAACTCTCCCCACAGCCAAAATGGGAAAATGCACGTGGGAGAAAATTCGTGTGGGAAATATGGGGAAACCCTTCATGGAGAGACACGCCTTACTAAGAACCGGAGAACCTGCACAACAGAAGAACCCAAGTGTGCCGACAGCCACACAGCCTTAAAGAAGTCACGTCCAGCCCTAACTCAGAGAACTACCCCCAAAGAGAAAAACCGCAAAGGTAACGAATGCAAGACATCCCCGACCTCCATCCTCAAGGGACCCAAATGCACTCAGTGTCAGAGACCATCCCTGGAGGAGGAGCCTGATGAGGGGGAGGAAAGTGGGAGGTCACCCCTTGGTGAAAACCAGAGTGCTTGCCAAGGTCCGAAAGCCCATGAGTGTCGCAGATGTAAGGAAAGCTGTGCTAAGAAAGCAGGTCTTCCCCAACACCAGAGCTCACACCCGGAGAGCAAACCCTACGCTTGTCACGAGTGTGACAAGTCCTTCCCAGTGAAGGCAAACCTCACTGAACACCAGAGGACTCACACCGGAGAGAAACCATACGAGTGCAGCGAGTGTGGGAAGTCGTTCTGCCAAAAATCCGCCCTTAAGATACACCAGAGAACCCACACGGGGGAGAAACCTTTCAAGTGTAACGAGTGTGGGAAAACCTTCTGCGTGAAATCGAACCTGACACAGCACCAAAGGACTCACACCGGAGAGAAGCCGTACAAATGCAGCGAGTGCTGGCGATCTTTCTGTGTCAAGTCCAACCTCGTCGTGCATCAGAGAACCCACACAGGAGAAAAACCCTACAAGTGTCCCGAGTGTGGGAAAACCTTCTACGAGAAATCCGCCCTCACCAAGCATGAGCGGATTCACACTGGGGAAAAACCCTACGAGTGCAGCGAATGCAAGAAAAGCTTCAGCCAGAGGTCAGCTCTTACCAAGCATCAGAGAAAAAAACACAAGAAGAAAGCATCTTCCAGTAGCCTTCATGGGCAGACACCAGAACCAACGAGCGAAGCTCGCTGAACATCAACAAAATCCAAGGGTGGGCATGATGCTACCATGGCAACAGGTATAGGAAAGCATTCACTAACAGGTTATAAGTGATAGAAACGAGACAATTAATGTAGGATTGAAAGCATAAGAATGTTTCAAATACATGAATGCTTTCAACAGGTATTCAATGTTGTTGAAGGAAAAAAAATCTAAACTTTTAATGAATATGGAGAAAAATGTCCTTGTGGAAATATTGTCTAACTAGAAGTTATATTTCAGATGTGACGTGAAACTCATTACATGACAGATAACAGAACGCCATCTGTTCTTAACAGAAAATGAAATATGGATCTTTCATAACAAGGATAATTTCGGCTACTGATTCAGTTGTAATAAACAGCCATCTTTTGCCTACCCATCTTGATTTTCTTCAGCATGTTCTCTCCTTTGCTTCCTAGAAGTTTATTTAATTTTTTCCATAATAAAGAGGACATTGACCAAGAAAAAAGAACTACAGTGGAAAAGACCAAAAAAAAAAAAAGTTTAGGAATCTAAGCAGTGAAAGTAAAGAAGATGCCAGGAACAGCTAATGGAAGCAACACGAGCAAGGAATCTCTGTGTCAAAGATGGGGGTCATTTAATGCTGAGTTAAAAAGATTGTGCAGTGGCCAGCAAGGTGGCTCGGTGGTAAGGGCTCTTGCTACACAAGCCCGAGGACATCAGATGATTCCTGGAACCTATGTAAAGGTTGTCCTCTGACGCCAAACATGCACTGTGGCACACACATGTTCACATACGCGTGCATACACACACACATGCACACACACTAATAATACATACAGTAACATTTTAAACACACAAAAACCCTAAATCTAACGGCAGGTAGTTTGTAAAAGAGAAGAAGAGGAAGAGGAGGAAGAAGAAAGAAATTTAAAGTCAGTTGAAAAGGGAATTTGGATATGTATATCCAATAAAGTGTGACCTCGTAATGGTGAGTCGTGTGATTGTATTATTGAATTCAACTTCTATGGAATTTTGTCTAGGGGGAAGGTGAACTTTTAAACATCCTACTTATGACCTGGGTGCAGGCCTTTAATCCCAGCACTTCAGAGGCAGAGGCAGGCAGATCTCTATGAATTTGAGGCCAGCCTGGTCTACAGAGAGTTCCAGACCAGTCAGGCCTGTGTACAAAGACCTTGCTGCAAAACAAACAGAACAAAGCAATGACAAAAAGCCCAGTTTTAAGATTATAGGGATGATGAACAGGGTACCGAGAGTGGTCGCACCTTTAACCATTTATCTGGACATGGCACCTGCAGAGACTAAGGATGATAGATATGGGCTGTGGAGCCACCCCAGTTGGGGAGAGAGAGCACACATCTCCAGAGAGTTGGGGTTGGGTTTCTCAACCTCCTGCCTCCAATCCGCTCACAGGTGCCCAACACAATGACGGTTTCACTTCTTTATTTCTCCTATTTTCATGTGTGTGTAGGAATATTTTGCATGCATGTGAGTCCATGTATGTGGGAATGGGGATGCACATATATGTCTGTGCATGTGTAGGTCCTGGGGTTAATGTCAGAAGTCACCCTGGATTGCTCTTCCTCTTACTCACAGAGACAAGGCCACGCAACCAAACACAGAGTTCTCTTATGGGGCTAGTCTCGCTTGTCAGCTTGCCCTGGGAAACCCTTGATTCCTTTGGAGGTTGGAATTACAGCCCTCCCCTCCACATCTGACACATGGGTTCTGGGGATCCAAAACCTAGTCCCCTCTTACACACCAAGACTAACTGCTGAGTCATCTCCCTAGCCCCATAGCTGTGTGGATCTATAATGTCTGAAAAATAAAAGTCTGGCTTTTCAAAGGAATGGATACACTACGCAGAATGACATCTCCTTTCTGGAGAGCGGAGAGAAAATCCCTAAGCCCTGGGAGCTCTGAGGCCCTGGTCACACCAAGTGTATGCCAGCCTGACTTCCCTTTCCAGATATTGTCCCACTCTTGTTAAAGAGAAACAAATTCTGTAACATCCTACCCCCTCAGATAACTCAGCATCTTTGGGATTATTTTCTCCTCATCTACCTCCTCCTCTTTCACACGAAAGCTAAATGTGAGGCCGTCTGTGCACAGAGCACAGCGCAGGAAGTGACGGAGAGGATGTGTCTTCACCTGACTTTGGTCTGTCTCTGTCTGGTCTCCAGATCCTCTGGCTACCAGTACGTAGAGCTCACTGGCTACAGGCACAGCGGTCATGTGGGGTTTCCATGAATGGAGTGGGGTGGAGGCAACTTTGGGCACTCACTTGTGACTTCAGCCCTTGCTTATCTTCGGCCATTTGATGCTGCACTAACAGAGTACCCGAGGTTGAAGGGTTTACAGTGAAGACAAATTTACTTCTCACAGTTATAGAGGCTGAGTCCAAGACCAAGAGGCCAGAGAGTCTGGTGAGGAGCGTCTGTTTCATCCAGCAGCGGACAGTAGAAGGAAGACTGGAAGGGAGAAGGGGAGAAAGGGTGGAGACAAAGCAAAGCCCCAGGTTTTTGCCATTGGTGTTAATTAAGCCCTTGTACCCAGAACACCCCACCACCACTGCACCATTGCAGTCGGATTAACTTCCCAACACGAGGTTTTGGGGAGCATAGTCAAAACATAGCAATGTTGGGTCTGGGAGTCACACAAATACTGAGGATGAGGTCACCAAAGTTAGATGCGCAGAAGCAACTTTATTCCATCATCCTGAGGTACCAGAACTTGGAACTAGTCAGGACCACAGGCAAGTCGGGATTTACACTGTGACCCTGAAGAGAGGGGGTAGGTTCTTTTTAAAACAGAAGTCACAAGGCAGGGGCGGGGGCCGAGGACAAGGTATGAAAAAGGATTTTTACAATTTGAGCTGGGTGACTACATTCTGGGGATCTACAACTTTTGATAACCAGGTATCTGTACAAGCCTAACAGGGGGTTGTAGAGCTTGTTTACGTAAGTCTGTGCTTATCTTGACAGAGCTCTTAACACAGTCGGAGTCTTAAATTTTTAACTAACTGTTGTCCCTGTGACTGAGAATATGGGACAAGGGTCATGCTATAGAAGAAGCTGGGCAGGTGGGCTAATGTTCATACTTACCCTGGGCCCTTCAGCAACCCTCTAGGCTGGTTACACACCTACCTCATCCATCCTCTACTGTCCAGACTGCCCCTGCTACATCCTCACCTAACTCATAAGACTATATAAATCCCAGTTTTCCTTTTCTTTTCCACGTTCCCTTTAAATTTTTATTGTTGCGCGTTCATTCTCCTCCTGGGCTCAGGATAAAACCTCAGGAGCCACGGCGCTTAGGCAATAAATAACCAGGAATAAATGGCAGCTGGGTAAGCTAGGTAAGTGACTGCCTCAGTGGAGACCAGCAGAGCTGCGGAAGAGCGATGCCTGGGGGAGTGGGTATGGCTTCCTCAGCCCCTGGTCTGTGTCCTTGAGTCCTTCCTCTTGAGATCTTCAGTTTCACAGCAGCAAAACAGCTGGGCAGAGCTGAGGACAGGGGGCCAGGAGGGTCGTGAATCATATCCTGCTTGCCGAGGCTTGGTCGTTATCTATTTGGGTCACTAATAGAGCCATGGTTCATCCCTCTGAAGTTGGGTGCCTCCCCATCATACTGCTAGTCCCAAAAATGAAGGTGGGGTCCTTCAGAAAAATCAACCTTTCTGAGATCTGCCTGTGAGGCTTCCTGGGTCCTCTCATCTAGTTTAACCTTCCCTGGGTGTGCCACTCTTCTGAGAAGTCAAGGGGAGATTCCTCATACCCAACCCTAGTATTTCTCCATCTCTGAGGAACAATCTCCCCAACAAGCCTGTGCAGATAGGGTTTGACCAAAGTCATCCTCACCCACCCCCTCCAGCTTCTAGAATAGGGACGTTGAGAGGTAGCAATCCCTTAAATGTCCCCAACTTTCTATGAAGCCACTCCTGCCTACCCCTGGTCTTCCTTTCTGCCTCAGAGCCTAAGAAGGTGTCTTCCTCTAAAGCCCATGAAAACAGACTTGGGGGTTGTGGAGGTGGAATTTGGGGCTGAGAGAAAGCTGATCCTCAGTCCTGCAGTTACCACTGACCATGGTGTGGTTCTGAATGTCATAAGGCCTCAGTAGACCTCAGAGCCAAACCTAACCCCCAACACATGGCTGGTGAGGCCAAAACAATATCTAAAGGAAGGGGCCAAACCTGACTTCCTGAAGAGTGTTCCCATAATGCACAGCAGAGGGCTCTGGTCACAAATGTAAAGACTGCGGTTTCCCTGGCCTGAAAGCTCTCTGCCCACGCCTGTCATTCGGCACCCCTCCCCCCTTTTTCATTAATCTATTACACAACAGTGCGCAATGCTGAGGAAACAATTCTAGAGACTTACTTGTGTCACTACACGGGTAATTAAATTGTGTAGATTTACATTTTAATTACATACTGCTTTGTTCCTGCTTCTTTTTTTTTTTCCTGAGGGATAACACATGTATCCCCAGGAGTCAATAACACCCTCAATGGGGCGAGACTTTCTTCTTCTATTCCACCCCGCTGCGAAATCTTAGCTGTCCTATCAGTGTGTGCCCCTACAGAAGACCATGATATATACATATATATAATATATATCGTATATATAGGCATATGCAACAAAAGTAAATAAATGTACAACATTTCGTTGTATTATAATTCCACCAAAAAGGGGCCAATTAATAGAAAAATACCTAAAAGAGCTCTTTTGGGGAACCACATTTCTAAAAATAACAATTGAGAAACACTCAATGAGAGAGGGAGAGTAGATTAAGAAAATACGTTGTGCCGGACAGTTGTGGCGCACGCCTTTAATCCAAGCACTCGGGAGGCAGAGGCAGATGGATCTCTGTGAGTTTGAGGCCAGCCTGGTCTACAGAGGGAGTTCCAGGACAGTCAAGGGCTACACAGAGAAACCCTGTCTTGAAAAAACAAAAAACAAAGAAAGAAACGATGTCACTGCAGCAAAGTTATGGACTTTTAATCACTTCTTCTAGAACCTGGAGTGTACCGTGATGCAGTCCAGCCTCAGCAATGCCTAACTGGAGATTCTACCATGGCTCAGGATGGACCCACCTAAAAACCAGAAGCTTCAAGGTCCCACTCTGATTGTCCCCACGTGTTCTCTGGTTCCATCAGCACTCCCTCCTCCAATCCCCTCCCCCATCCCCAAGCAGCTGCAGATCTGCCAAGTAGCCCTAGGTCAGTTCCCACTTCTCACTGAGTACACAGGTATGGAATTCATTGCTCCTGCCTCTTCCTTTTTTGACTTCCTTTACTCAGCCGTGAGTTCACAGGACCATTTGCAAGGCAGGTGTGTAGACAGCATGAGCTGTGAGCCAGAGGGACTTCCACAGAGATCTCAAAGGAAAGCCAGGCAGTGTGTGGCCAGGTCCGAATCCCTGGAGGCAACCGTGAGAGAGCAATGTATGAGGTCAAAGGGCGGGCGACATTATGCCCAACTCTAGTGGAGACCCCAGGGCGTTGGAGATGCCGGGAGTGTGAACATCTGCCGAGGAAGTCACAGGTGGTAAATCGAGTCAGCCTGAGATATCAGGAGAACTGCAGCCCGGAAGCTGTATGGCAGACTCCTCAAGACGTCAGAGGCTCCATCCCATCCACACGGGACCCT